GCATCTGGGCAAGCGCGTTCCACTACTCGCAAAGTAGCTGCTCGCAAATGGCCTGGATCCACCGCGGGGGATCTACGATACACGTCACATCGAGGACGACCTGTTTTTTTCTCGGACGCTTGCGAATAGGCTCTTCCTGCGAGCAGACAGGCACGCTCGGTGAACATCCCGGGAGCGGCGCGGGGAGCAGCGGTACATTGGCACTTTCGGGGCCCCTGGTTTGGGGCCGCCTGGGAACCGACGTCCTGGTGCCCCAGCGGGCGGTGGATATTGCTGCATTTTGGCCCCCGGGGGTCCGAATATGTCCATATCCACCGTCTGCCGAGATCCCCGAAATCCGGCGGTGGACAAGCCTCCCTTTAGTAAACCTCCCAGTCGGGAAAACGGCCTGGGACCGAAACCGACGGACCTGGACCCGCAAACATGACGGCCGCGACGCCCCCTCGCGAACCGCAAACGGCCAATTCCTTAATCGACGTGTCAGGGTAGGAGGTCTCTCCACCTCCGAGAAATTTATCCTCCAGGCAGTGGACATGTACAAATTCCCGCCTCGGAGGTGGGCGGCGCGAGCGGGGGGGCCGGGGGGCGCGAGGCGGGCGGCCAATCGATAAGGCGGGGAGGGGGGCGGGGGGGGCTCCCGTGAAAGCACGGGGGCCTCCTCGAGGCTCTCCGGGCTTCCGGCTGGGGCCTTCTTGGAGGCCGCCTCCTTCGGAGCCTCCTCCCCCGCCGCCAGGATGGACAGGGATCGGGATCGGAATCCGACGTCGAGTTGACTTGGAATAGGGATCGGGGGAGTCGAGATGAGCTCCGTGGGAAGCCCTCGTCGCCATGGCTGCACTTCTCTCGAACTCCTGGTCTGAAGGGCCACTCTAGAGGCCGCCTTCTTCTTAGAAGCCTCCGCCGCCTCCAGGACGGACAGGGATCGATCAGGCTCGAGAGAGGGCGCAAAAGATGGCGCCGACCCAAACTTGCCATCGCTCGGACGTCTATTCCCCGTGCATTTTTCGGAATCGTGCTTTTCCAGCAAGATGATCCTGGATGCTCCTCGATGGTCCCCGCCGAGAACATAAAACAACAAACGCACACGTCCGAGCAATGCCAAGAAAGCGCGCGCAGGCCGCTGCGACCACGCCGCCTTCTGCGATCGGGGACGCCCTCGTGGGCGGAGGAGGAGGTGGAGGAGAAGGAGGAGGAGGAGGAGGAGGAGTAGGAGGAGGAGGAGGAGAAGGTGGAGGAGGAGGAGGAGGAGGAGGGGAGGAGGAGGAGGGGGGGGGGAGGAGGATGAGGAGGAGGAGGAGGAGGAGGAGGAGGAGGAGGAGGAGGAGAGGAGGAGGCGGAGGAGGAGGAGGAGGAGGAGGAGGAGGAGGGCGAGGAGGGGGAGGAGGAGGAGGAGGAGGAGGAGGCGGAGGAGGAGGCGGAGGAGGAGGAGGTCGCCCTGGCGAGGAGGCTGCAACAGCGTGCTGTCGGGGACGCCCTGGCGAGGAGGCTGCAACAGCGGGCGGGCGGAGGCGTTGGACGAGGAACCAATCCCACCAGCCCTCTGGGCGTAGGTGGTTTAGGGAGTTCCTCTTTCACCCCTCCTTCCTCCCCTTCGGGGAGGGGTTTGCCCCTCCCCCTACCCCCTCCCCTGGACCTGGACAAGGGGGGTGCCTGGTCGGCAGAGCGTCCAAGATGGCCCAAGGGCGGGCCGAGGTATTGGGCGAGGGACGGGGTCCAGTTCCAAAGGGAAGCAGAAAGCAAACGCGTCTCGATAGGAACCGCTGTTCCGCGAGAAAGCGAAACCTCTAAACTGCCCCCGGGTTGAGCTCTGAGGTGGCTTAACCTACGAAGCCGACGATTTTACTGCTTTAACATGGTCGACCCACGAACCCGGGAAGGAATATAGAAATGTAACGCATGGCAACGTGTTCAAAGACACCTGATTGGGTGACGGGCAACTGCAATGCTGATTGTATCGATCTTGATGTACCGTGCCGAGGGCTGTGCTGTGCTGCACCGTGCTGAATTGCGATGTGCCATGCCGCGGTTGTGCTCTATAGCGTCGTGGATCGAGTCTTCCTTTGCATCCGAGTCCTGACTGAACTGATCTGGATCTTAAGCTCGAGTTGCCTGAACACATAGTAGCTGCCCCAGAGCTAATTGACAGGGGGACATGCCAAGAGGACGCGCCGCGAAACGTCCCAAGGTACGCGCCAGGCGACGTGCCAGGGGACGTGCCATGGGTTCGCACCGTAGGACGTGCCAAGAGGACGCGCTACGGAACGTGCCAATGGATGTGCCACGGAATGTGCCAGGGGACGCGCCACGCGACGTGCCAGGGGGACTCGCCAAGGGACGCCCCACGGAACGTGCCAAGGAACGTGCCAAATTGCAATGCTGAGTGTATCGATCTTGATGTACCGTGCCGAAATCAGTGCTGTGCTGCGCCGTGCTGAATTGCGATGTGCCATGGCGCGATTGTGCTCTATAGCCTCGTGGATCGAGTCCTCCTTTGCATCCGAGTCCTGACCGAACTGATCTGGATCTTAAGCTCGAGCTGCCTGAACACATAGTATCTGCCGCAGAGCTAACTGATAAGGGGACATGCCAGGAGGACGCGCCGCGGAACGTCTCAAGGGACGTGCCAGGCGACATGCCAGGGGACGTGCCATGGGGACGCACCGCGGGACGTGCCAAGGGGACGCGCTACGGAACGTGCTGGGAACAAGCGTTTCGCTCGAGACATCCTGTCAACAACCTCATTCTAGACATCCGCCTGAGCGACCCGGACACGTGAAAACAAACGTTTCGCTCAACACATCCTCAACACATTCTCATGCTAGACATCCGCCTGGGCGAACTGGACACGTGAAAACAAGTACTTCGCTCGAGACATCCTCAACACATCTTCATGTGAGATGTCCGCCTGGGTGACCTGGGCACGTGAAAACAAGCGTTTCGCTCGAGACGTTTTCAACACCTCCTCATTCTAGACATCCGCCTTGGCGACCTGTACACGTAGAAGCAAACGTCTCGCTCGAGACATCCTCAACACATCTTCATGTTAGACATCCGCCTGGGCGACCTGGACACGTGAAAACAAGCGTATCTCTCGAGACATTCTCAACTTATCCTCATGCTAGGCATCCGCCTGGGCAACCTGGACACGTGCAAACAAGCATCTCGATCGAGACTTTCTCAACACCTCCTCATTCTAGACATCCGCCTGGGCGACGAGGATGCGTCAAACCAAGCGTCTCGCTCGAGACATCCTCAACAAATCCTGGCGCTTGACCTCTGCCTGGGCAACCTGGAGGCATGAAACCAAGCGTCTCGCTCCAAGACCTGGGCATGTGAAACCAAGCATTTCACTTGAGAGATCCTCTAAATTCTGGCCCCCAGGAGAGGACAATCTATAACACAAAACAAGCGTTTCGCTCGAGACATCCTCAACACATTCTGAAACACAAGCGTTTCGCTCGAGACATCCTCAAATTTTAATTCGCCGGCCCTACGCGACCTCGTTGTTTATCGCAGAAGAAATTCGCCGGCCCTTCAGCCGTCGGATCCGGGGGTAAACCTCTAAAAGAGAACCCTGGGCCTACGCCCTTTCCGGAAAAGATGCCGAGAAACCAACGGATAGGGATTCCAGGGGCTGGCAGCAGGTAGAGCTCCGATCGAGGCGTGGCCAGGGATGTCACCGCCGCCCTCAGCTGACGAGGAGCCCTCCAGGGTCTGCGGCCTCCTGGGCGCATTCCCTCACCGACGCCCCCACCGTAGTGGGGGATGCCCTGCATGGGGGGGTGAAGCGAAGGGGCGCCAGAGGGGCCCTTCTCGGGCCCCTTTCGGACCCCTGTTGGCTCCAAAAGGGGCCCTCAGGGGCTCCTTTTGGGGGTCCTGTTCTCCAGCCCCCCGTGCAGGTCACCCTCCAGCACCACCCGCCCGAGGGATGCTCTGGACGTTGACGCTCTGGGGCTGGGCAGCAGTCAGAGTGTCGCGCCGAGGCGCGGTAGGCCTGAGTCTGCGGCGCGACGCGCCAGGCAGACCGTCCTGACCGCGCGTGCAGCCGACCCTTCTGCGGCAACGCAGGGGGGCCTCCCATATCATCTTGTTGGCTCTTGCGAATCGACGCTCGTCGACGCTGGTCGACGCTAACCGACGCTAATCGACGCTACGTCGACACTTCTCGACGCTACGCGACGCTGATGGACGCGAAATCGGTGTGCCCACATCGATTGCACGACACTTGTCGACGCTAATGCACCCTGAACACGGATTTGCGAGGGCACCCAGGCTCCCATGACTTGCTACCGAACGGGTCTCCTTCCCCTCCTCCTCCACCCAGCGGCGACAGCGGCGGAGCGGCCGTTGGCGGCGCGCGCAAAGGGGGCAGGGGGAGGGGGGGAGCCTTCTCGGAGAGAGGCTGCTTCTCAGAAGGCGCTGGCCTTACGTTAGGTCGGGCATGTCCCCCTGCAGGCGGATTTTGGGTGAAAAGTTTAAGAACATCTGCAAATACTTAAAACATGCCCAAACATAGTCAAGCAATCGTTCCCAAAATTATTTGTTGACTACTTCTGAATGCTCCTCCTGTAGAGGGACAGACCCGATTTACTTAAGAGTAGGGGGAGGGGGGGAGCCTTCTTAGAGAGGCTGCTTATCAGAAGGCGCCGACCCTACGCCTGCAGATCAGGCCCGCGCCTTCTAGGAAGCAGCCTCCTTCTCTGAGACGCCTTCCCCCCTCCCCCTGCCCCCCCCTCTGCGCGTGGCTGGGGGCCCGCTGAAACAAACAACTGTGCATCAAGAACTGGGGGACCACTTCGAATACCCCCCCCGCACACCCCGGCCTTGATATTGAGCAATAGGTCCCGGAGGTGGGCGGCCGGAAAACATCGGAACTCAAGATCTCGATCGCCATGCCTTCCAACATTCGGGCCGGAGGGATGGAAGGGGCGGGGGGGGGAAGCCCGCTATGTGTCGTCGGAGCGCTGCTGATGCAACATTTTTGTTCCTGCAACCGCCGCGTCCTCCCGCGTGCCGAAGTCCAGGTAGGCGTGGCCCCTGGGCCGCCCGGTGATCTCGTGGAGGACCACCTCGCCGCGCGGGCGGCGCACAGCGTGGGGCCGCTCGCGGCGCGGGCCCCTCGCGCCCCTCGAGGGGCGCTCTCTCCAACCTCCTCCTCCTCCTCGAGTTTTTCTGTTATACATATATATATATATATATATATGTGTGTGTGTGTGTGTGTGAAAAGGCAACAACAAAAATAGTCAGCAACAACAGTAATTCAGACAAGCAAGCCAATAAACAACAGTTTTTTGAAATTAACAACGGGATTCAGGCAAGTTTACTTGCACGGCGTTCGCTCCCCCCCCTCGCCCCTCTTCGAACGCATGCTAGCGTGCAGGTGCCTTTCCACGTGCGTGGTCTCCGCACGTGCAGGTCGTTTGCGGCTTGCTTCAGGTTCAGGCCCCCCCCCCGTCCATGCAAGTAAACTTGCCGGAATCTAAACATGATCGACCCACGAACCCGGAAAGGAATGTAGAACTGTAACACATGGCAGCGTTTTCAAAGACACCTGATTGGGTGACGGGCAAATGCAATATCTGAAGTATCGATCTTGATGTACCCTGCCGAGGGCTGTGCTGTGCTGCGCCGTGCTGAATTGCGATGTGCCATGGCGCGACTGTGCTCTATAGCCTCGTGGATCGAGTCCTCCTTTGCATCCGAGTCCTGACCGAACTGATCTGGATCTTAAGCTCGAGCTGCCTGAACACATAGTAGCTGCCCCAGAGCTAATGGACAGGGGAACATGCCAGGAGGACGCGCCGCGAAACGTCCCAAGGGATGCGCCAGGCGACGTGCCAGGGGACGTGCCATGGGGTCGCACCGCGGGACGTGCCAAGGGGACGCGCTACGGAACGTGCCAATGGATGTGCCACGGGATGTGCCAGGGGACGCGCCACGCGACGTGCCAGGGGGACTCGCCAAAGGACGCCCCACGGAACGTGCCAAGGAACGTGCCAAGTTGCAATGCTGAGTGTATCGACCTTGATGTACCGTGCCGAAATCAGTGCTGTGCTGCGCCGTGCTGAATTGCGATGTGCCATGGCGCGACTGTGCTCTATAGCCTCGTGGATCGAGTCCTCCTTTGCATCCGAGTCCTGACCGAACTGATCTGGATCTTAAGCTCGAGCTGCCTGAACACATAGTAGCTGCCCAGAGCTAATGGACAGGGGAACATGCCAGGAGGACGCGACGCAGAACGTCTCAAGGGACGCGCCAAGCGACGTGCCAAGGGACGTGCCATGGGGACGCATCGCGGGACCTGCCAAGGGGACGCGCTACGGAACGTGCTGGGGACAAGCGTTTCGCTCGAGACATCCTGTCAAAATCATCTGAATTCCTACGCGCGGGACGCTGCACGCGCGAGACATCCTCGGAATTCCTGCGAGCGGGACGTGAAAAACAAGCATTTCGCCTGAGACATCCTTTGAATTCTGGCCCCCCACGAGGCCACCGCTCGAGACATCCTCCAATTTTGCAAAACCAGCGTTTCGCTCGAGACATCCTCAACAAATTATGAAAACAAGCGTTTCGCTCGAGACATCCTGTCAAAACCACAAGAAATCCAAATACCCGCGCGCGGGACGCGGCACGCGCGAGACATCCTTGGAATTCCTGCGCGAGGGGCGCTTTTCCGTGTCGCGGTCGGCTCTGCAAAACCAGCGTGTCGCTCGAGACATCCTCAACAAATTCTGAAACCAAGCGTTTCGCTCGAGACATCCCCAACTCTGCAAAACCAGCGTCTCGCTCGAGACATCCTCAACAAATTCTGAAAAACAAGCGTTTCGCTCGAGACATCCTCAAAAATAATTGCGCCGGCCCTACTCCCGCACGTAATTTATCGCAGAATAATTTCGCCGGCCCAAGTCGCAGGGGTCCGGGGGGTTAACCTACTAAAAGAGAACCCTGGGCCCGCGTCCTTTCCGGGAAAAACAGGCTCCTTATCCTTCTCCCTCTACTCCTCCTATCTCATCTGCAGCGGGCGACATCCTAAAAGCTCAAAGAGGATCGAGGAGCCAAGTAGTGTAGCAAGCCCCGGTCCCCGTCAGGCAAGCAGCCTCCTAGTCCTCTTGCTGTTCCTCATAATTTTCCAGTTCATCCTCTCGCCTTCTTTCTCCATTACTCTCTTCCTGTGAAAGGGTGAGGGGTGAGAGTTGAGAGGAGGGTGAGGATGAGGAGCGATGCTGTCAGGATAAGGGGGGGGGGACTAGCTGCAGGAACAGGAGCAGCATGCTGAGGAGCAGGATAAGATAGAGGAGAAGCGCGAGGAGGCGGAGGTTTATGAATGATGTGGACAAGGGGGAACAATGGTTGGACGACAAGGAGAACACTGAGACGAAGCTAGGACGGGGACAAAATCGGACCTGGATACATCGGGGATCTCTGAGATCAAGCGGTTCTGGAGGATGTAGCGGCCGCCGCGGCCGTTCCAGAGAACTCCGGAACGCTCTGGGTGCATTCCGGAACGCTCTGGAACGATTTATCGCGAAAGAACTCCCGCCCGAAACACAGAGGAGCAGGGTGGGAGGGGGGAATGACGACGACCTCGATGACGACGACGACGACGCCGACGAGAATCACGTCGACGTCGACCACGACGACGATAGCCGACGAAACAACGGCATGGGCATCAACTTTCGGAGGTCCACGCAGATTTCTGGGATCGGCGCTGGACTCCTGGTGGCGACTCCACCGCCCCTGCCGCGCACCGCGCGCCGGGGGCGGGGACGCAGCGCCGACCCGAGAGATCCGGGCGGACCTCCGCCAGCCCTGCGCCCTTGCCGCTTTTATAAGGCACCTCGGGAGCTCCCGAACGGAGTGAACCCCACCCTCCCCTCAGAACTCGTGGGGGGTAGGGGTAGGGTTCGCGTGTGGCCCCCCATCTTTCCCTCCGAGACGGCGCCTTCGACGACGTCGACGGCGCTGACGTCGACGGCGACGACGACGGCGGCGACGGCACGACCGGCGGCGACGACGACGGGCGGCGGCAGCGCGCGGCGGTAGCCTCGAGGCGAGAGGGCAGCGGCACGCGCGGCCGCAGGGCCTGGGCGGGAGCGGCGCGCGCGGGGCGCCCCTGCAGCTCTTCCTCCTCCTCCTGGGCACAGCCTGGGGCGCCACAGAGTCTATGGTGCCTCAGCAGGACCTCGAACGCGGCTAGGGGCGCACCTTGCAACCGCCATTAGCCGCGCCCATCGGACACACACCGCGCCGTGCGCGGGGCCGAGGAGCAACGGTGCGAGGGTCACTAACGGCGCAACGCCGGGCAGTCCCCACTCGCACCGCGCCCCCCGTTGCAGCCATTGACAAGGATTAGGGCTCTGGGAGCAGGCGATAACCTGCATACCTCAGAACCCTCTTGGCTAAACAGTACTCGCCCCGTCTCAATCGTTCTAGGATAAGGCGACGATCCTTGGAAAGATGACGGGGCTGGCACTCACTCGCAAGAGACACCACGCGCTGGGTGGTGCATGCAGCGCAGTGAGTGCAGCAAAACACCTGGGTTTCGCCCACGAACAGCGACGCCACACGATGATGCTTGGACCCAGCGGCCTTCAGAGAAACCTGAGCCTGCTGGATCCTTTGCTCTAAGGTGGGCGGCTCTGGCTTGACAATGATTAGGGAGGGGGCTGAACGTGCAGAGCGCTGGCGGTGCAGACAGTCTACAGATGCAATGGCCTCACCCGCCCTGGCGGCCCATTTCCCCGTAAGACTGACCATTCTCTTCTGCATCAACGTAAGCTTCTGAAACTGGGGATCGGGCCGCAGGACACGAGCACGACTGTTCGCAGCACCGTCGGCGGCATCATTTCCAAGTTTGTCTCGAAGCTTATACCTCCCCTCCGCAACCTGAAACTCTGTCACGTGGGCTTTAACTTTCTTTACCTCAGGGGGGGTACCCCCCCAGTCATCGACTTTGCGCCATACGAGCTTCCAAAGACAGGCCCAAGCCGCCGACGCCGACGTGGTGTCAGCAGGTCCGCGGATATTGTAACCTTTCCAAACGAAATCGGAATCCGTGTGCACGACAACAGGTGGCACCGCAAATCTGAGCACTGCGAACAGGGCATACAGCTCGGCACCGTCTATGTCCTGCGGCGGGTAGGGCAGGAGACCTGTGATGGTGCAGGCAGCCGTGTCGCTGTCGGCGGCCAGCGCAACAACTGCCCATGCAGCGGTCCCGCGATGTGGATAATCAGTAAACAGAGAGCCATCAAGATAAAGATCCCCTGTGAGCTGTTGCGCATCCCCGTGCCATTCCACACAGGGCTCCGACGGCGTCAGCAGCACTGCCTGAGGGGCCTTGGGGAGAGGGACGAGCACGCGCTCCAGCAACAGGCGCACCAGGTCATTCTGGTCCGCATGCGGGAGCATGAGTCTGATTGCATCAGGGAGTGGCTCTCCTATTGCCTCAAGCATGCTCTTGCAAACAGCGTGCCGATGCACGAGGGACCCAGGGGCCTCATGGCATGCAAGGCAACTCGGGGAGTCAATCCATCCTTGTTGAAATTGCCGATCTTGGGGCCACTGAGCTCCAATGATAGCACTCCTGAGGTAGCCGCGCTGCTGCCAAGTGAGGTTCCCCTTGGCGCTCAGGAGGTACTTCAGAGGCCCATCCCAGAACCCAGTGCGGAACTCGGGCATCTGGAGGTGCTCCGAAATCTGCAGGTTGACCCAGTGGCGCACCGCATGCGCACAGCAGTGCAGTAGGACCCTGGGGCAAATGTCCTTGAGTTTCAGCTCCAGACCATCAGGCAACTTCCAGACCAGGGGCTCAACGACGACGATCCCGACTCTGGCGAGCGTAGCGAAGAGGGCTCCCAAGGGGCCCCGAACTTGCGGCCACATTTGGTCCTTCCCAGACAACGCCAATCTAGCAGCCTCAAGGCCATGCTCAAGTACATGACATGGCACGCGCGACGCCCAAAGAACAGAGCTGAAAGCTTTGATAGGCTCCAGAGTAGCCCTCCAAATCGGGTCGTAGTTGGCCTGCGGCGCGAGCGCGAGAGCGAGAGTGCGGCTCTTGCCGCTGGTCTTGGCGTCGAGCGCCGCAGCGGCCTGGGATCGCAACACGTCCAGCTCCTTAGAGGCAGTACCCTGAACGGAGGTCCCAAAAGCAACCGAAGTCTCCAGGGCCGCCCTGGCCATGATGGCCATGGTTTTCCGCCTGGCCATACCTCCCTGGAGATGTTCATTCTCTTGAGCTTGGGTTTGGCGACCTTGATTCTGCCCGTCCTGGTGGCCCTCCTGAGAAACCGACCAGAACTGTAGTCAACCCCCAAGTTGCGCTCATGGTTCACGCCCTGGGCCCTGAGCGATACCAGCCTCCTGGACAGCTGGTCACGTAAATCAGAGTCACTAGCAAGAACTCGCGTCTTGTCAAGAGCGAGCCGTAGATCCACACGCTGCAGCTCGCACTGAAGCTTCACTCCAGCACCAGCTACATCAGCAACTACTCGGCCGTGTTCCCCCGATCTCTGCAACGCAAAATCGTCGACAACCACGGAAAGACAGACGGCCCGAAACTCTTTCTGAACAACATCCAGGGGGCCCAGCAAAACCAGCTGCAGCAAAACAGTAGCAAAACCACACCCAGGGATAATCGTAGTTTCCGCCGTGATGTGATTACTGACCGTCCCTTGGAGATCAAGCAGGCGGGGCGACCGATAGACTTGCACAAGCAAACGCAGTTGCCACAACGGAAATCCAGTGCGAGCGGCCGCCTGGACAAGATGATGATGCTTGGCCAGTTCAAACGCTTTCTTCAAATCGAGCAGCAACGTAGCAGATGACAGGCCCTTGGACTGATAATACTCCGCCCACACTGCCTGAATGTACACACACATGTCAGCGCTTTTCCCTTTAGTACCCCACCAGAAACTCCGATAGTTCTTGACTTGCCATTGCCTGATCAAAGGCCTTCTCAGCCTGGACTGCACCCGACAGAGAACGTGTAGCAGCCCCAAAGGTCGGACCCCTCCCAATCGTTTGAGAATAAAAACATGATGGACCCACGAACCCGGAAAGGGATATAGACATGTGCAGCATGGTCACGTTTTCACGATATCCAACTGGGCGACACCTCACGAAACATCCCACGAGACACCCCGCGAAACATCCCAGGAGACACCTCACGAAACAACCCACGAGACACCTCACGAAACATTCCACGAGACACCCCGTGAAACATTCCACGAGACACCCCACGAACAGGCAACCACTCAACCAGACACCCCACGAAACATTCCACGGGGGTGCGACTGGGTGTGGTCGTGCTGGGGTGTGGTCGTGCTGGAGTAGGGGTGTGGTCGTGCAGGGGTGTGGTCGTGCTGGGGTGTGGTCGTGCTGGTCGTGCTAGGGGGGTGGTCGTGCGTGGTCGTGCTGGGGCGTGGTCGTGCTGGGGCGTGGTCGTGCTGGGGTGTGGTCGTGCTGTGTGAGGTCGTGCTGGGGTGTGGTCGTGCTGGGGTGTGGTCTTGCTGGGGTGGGGTCGTGCTGGGGTCGGGTCGTGCTGGGGTGTGGTCGTGCTGGGGTATGGTCGTGCTGGGGTGGGGTCGTGCTGGGGTGGGGTCGTGCTGGGGTCTGGTCGTGCTGGGGTGTGGTCGTGCTGGTTCTGGGGTGGTTCGCTGCTGGGGTGTGTCGTGCTAGGGTGGGGTAGTGATGGGGTGGGGTCGTGCTGGGGTGTGGTCGTGCTGGGGTTGTGTCGCGTGCTTGGGGTGTGGTCGTGCTGGGGCGTGGTCGTGCTGGGGTGGGGGTCGTGCTGGGGTGTGGGGTCGTGCTGGGGTGTGGTCCTGAGGTGTCCCGCCACCCTGTGATTTATCGATTTCGAAAAGTGTCGTTGCTGGGTGTGGTCGTGCTGGGGGTGGTCGTGCTGGGGAGTGGTCGTGCTTTGGGGTGTGGTTCGTGCTGGGGTGTTGGTCGTGCTGGGGGGTGGTCGCGCTGGGAGGGGTGGTCGTGCTGGGGCGTGGTCGTGCTGGGGCGTGGTCGGGCTGGGGCGTGGTCGTGCTGGGGCGTGGTCGTGCTGTGGTGAGGTCGTGCTGGGGTGTGGTCGTGCTGGGGTGTGGTCTTGCTGGGGTAGGGTCGTGCTGGGGTCGGGTCGTGCTGGGGTGTGGTCGTGCTGGGGTATGGTCGTGCTGGGGTGGGGTCGTGCTGGGGTGGGGTCGTGCTCGGGTCTGGTCGTGCTGGGGTGTGGTCGAGCTGGGGTATGGTCGTGACAGCGGTGGGGTTCGTGCATTCGCTCGAGACATCATCCTCCAAAAATTCCAAGAAAATCGTACAAAAACAAAGGAATTAGTCGAGACATCATCGAAATTCCTTCGCGCGGGGCGCTTTTCCGCGTCGCGGTCGGCTCTGCAAAACAAGCGTTTCGCTCGAGACATCCTCGGCAAACTCTGCGGAGCAAGCGTTTCGCTTGAGACATCCTCAACACACGAAAAAGTGGCCCGCACCCTGTGATTTATCGATCGGGATTTCAAAAACAAGCGTTTCGCTCGAGACATCCTCAAATTTTAATTCGCCGGCCTCCTTCGACCTCGTTATTTATCAGGGAAAAAATTCGCCGGCCTCCCTCAAGTTGGCACCGGGGGACAGGTTTACCTACTAAAAGAGAACCCTGGGCCGGCGCCCTTTCCGGGAACAATCTTGTTCGTGAGGGGTGGCCAGACCGCCTGCTCCTCAATCTTCCCGATGAGGCCGCACAAAAGCTCGAGCGCAACGTCGGGCAAGTGCAGAAAGCTCCTAGGCGGGACCTGGTCGTATCCACAACCAGTGCCTATCGGGAAAGACATCAACACTTTCTTGAGCTCTGGGACCGTGGGGGGAGGCGGGCGCTCTCCGAGATCCTCTGGCCAGTGCACGGGGGGCTGCGCGACCCCCACCTGCCACCACTTGCTCCGCTCTCTTTCAAGCTCATCCATTTCCCCCATGCTGGAGTTAGGACGGAGGGTGAAGGAGTCGAGGGTGGACGGCTGCCAAGGGTCAGGCAGCTGCACATACTTGAAGAGCGCCGCAGCCCCACCTACCGAGTGCGTTTTAACCCATCGGTCCCAG